GTGAGTGCGCTGTGTGAGTGCGCTGTGTGAGTGCGCTGTGTGAGTGCGCTGTGTGAGTGCGCTGTGTGAGTGCTCTGTGAAGAACCACCCAGGTCAGGGACACGGGCAGTTTGATATCCTTTGGCCTGACAAACCTCACACACCACAGGGAAGACTCGTCCACTTTGTCTGTTGTAAAGCTCAGTATGTTTCCCTATGGTTGTGCTGTATTTGACACACCAGCATAAAGTAGCATGTAATTACCCAAGGGAAGAATATTCTGGAAGAGCAGTCCCTTGCATCCCCAGGCGCCGAGATAGACTGTGAAGACGTGAACGGCAACACCCCCCTGCACATAGCGGCTCGGTACGGACATGAACTGCTCATTAACACGCTCATTGCCAGCGGGGCTGACACTGCCAAGTGAGTACTCCCCCACCCCTCCCCCCCCCACAGTGGGCCAACTGCCCACCCCCCTGACCCCCCCTCCCTGAATCCCCGCAGGCGTGGCATCCACGGCATGTTCCCCCTGCACCTGGCCGCCCTCAGCGGCTTCTCCGACTGCTGCCGTAAGCTCCTCTCTCCCGGTGAGCACGCCATGCCCTCTCTCCCTCTGGCTCTCTGCCTCTTTCTCTTCATTCTCTCTCTGCTGCCCTCTGCTGGTGCCTCATACTCGCTTAAATGTCCGATCTCCTCAGACTTCAGCGTTGACAGCCCCGACGACCTGGGAAGGGCCTGCCTGCATGCGGCAGCGGCCGGAGGGTAAGCGGGGGGTGGGCCGGAGGGGCACGTCCGCCTTGCCACACCGTTTGTCCTGGTCTGGAGTGTTAACAGAGACGTATTTCTGCATCTCAGGAACCTGGAGTGCCTGAATTTGCTGCTTAACACAGGGGCAGATTTCAACAGGAAGGACGTGTCTGGAAGGTGACTTCGCATCACTCTTGTCTAGGGGTGACGGGTCAGTGGATAAAACTGAAGGCTGTGGGGGGGGGCGGTGCCTGTTTGAACATTGCCTCCGTCTCTCGAACAGGACCCCCCTACATTACGCTGCGGGCAACTGCAACTACCAATGCCTGTTCGCCCTGGTGGGCTCCGGCGCCGGCGTGAATGATGCCGACGAGCAAGGCCGCACCCCGCTGCATTACGCCGCTGCCTCCGACGGCCACGCCAAGTGAGTGGCCCCCCCGCCGCTGCGGGCTCACGCTCCCCGCCGAACTCCAGCCGTCTGCTTGCCACAATCTCACCACATTCCATCCCCCAGGTGCCTGGAATATTTGCTGAGGAACGATGCCAATCCGGGGATCCGCGACAAGCGGGGCTACAACGCCGTGCACTATGCCTCCGCGCGCGGCCACCGCCTGTGCCTGGAGCTGGTGAGTCGCGACCCGGCGCCGCACGTGCACTGTGCCACCACCAGGGGGTGCCGGTGACACAGCGGGAAAAATTCCGCAGCAAGTTTGTGGTCACCTGCATTTCCTGCATCTCTGTTTCTCCCTCTCTTTTAGATTGCAAGTGAAACACCCCTAGATGTGGTAAGTGGCCCCCACCATGCATGTTCTGGGGGCACCTGAGTTGTCGTTTTGATCCTGCTGAGGTACCACTTTGGTGGGATTAACCCGACTATTTAAACCGCATCCAACAGCAGTGACTTCAGAAGCTGCCTTTGGTTTAGAATGAATTTCAGTTATAGCTTTTTAATATTAGCATTGTTAGCTTTAAACTGCTGGCTTCCCGCAGCTGATGGAGACGTCTGGGGCAGACCTTCTGTGCGACGCTGATGTGCTGGTTCCCATCAGCCCACTGCACTTAGCCGTAAGTTAAATAACTGTTCACTAATGCCAATTACATCACGGCACCGTCAAACTCTCAAATCTGCAGGGTGTTGATTAATTTGTGTACTGCCAGCCAGACTAATCACAGTAGTATATCAACAGAGATTATAAAAACAAGGAAATCACTACATTCATTCAGATTGTGATTCAGACCGAGGACCAGCACCTGTGGTCAGTGATTAAATTCCAAAATGATTTACTGATATAATGCAGTTGTAGTCCAGTCATACTTTACAGTCCAGTTTACTAAAGCCTAAACCAGATGGAACTCAAGTCCAGTTTTGATAATTGATATTTGGTAAACACTAAATAAGTTGTGTTTTCCCATAATGCAGCTGAATACCAGGAGCTACATAAAGCTAACTTAATAAAACAATGGCTGAATATATATTTACATTTGCATTTATTAATGTGTAATACATGTTGATGCTTGTCATGAATTGACCCTTACATAAATTACCTACTTATGCAATGGCTACATTCTTCCTCTTCATCTGTGTGCTGGTTCATTAGTCCAGACTTTTCTTTTCCAGGCATATCACGGCCACCACCAGGCAGTGGAGGTCCTTGTGCAGTCCCTGCTAGACCTGGACGTCCGGAATAAACAGGGCCACACACCCCTGGACCTGGCAGCCCTGCGTGGGCACGTGGAGTGCGTGGACATCCTGATCAACCAGGGCGCCTCCATCTTGGTCAAGGACTATGTCCTGAAGCGGACTCCCATTCACGCTGCAGGTTAAAGAGTCGGAGGTCCCACAGATCCTGATTATGGTGGCCCTGAAGGACAAAACACATCAAGAAAATGCAAAATAAAAAAGAGAACCCACTGTGCTGGTGCCGATGTCAGCGGCTGTCGCAGTTCTTGCCAACGTGGCTTCTCTGTTTCTCTGCAGCTGCAAACGGCCACGCGGAGTGTCTGCGCCTGCTGGTGGGGAATGCAGATGCGCAGACGGCCGTGGACGTGCAGGACGGCGCTGGCCAGTAAGTTCAGAGCGCGGTGCTGTGGGTCCCGGGATTAGTGACCCCCTCTGACGCTGCCCCATTGCCCCCTGTCAGGACCCCCCTGATGCTGTCTGTGCTGAATGGAAACTCGGACTGCGTGTGCTCTCTGCTCAACAAGGGAGCCGACGTGAATATCAGGGACAGGTTGGGTAGGACTGGCTTGCACCGCGCGGTGAGTGCCCCCCCCCGGTCCTGCACCATCCGCGTCAGCTCTCCGTTGCCCCCACCTGCCGTCTTCTGTATAAACCGGCACCCTGGTTCATTGATAAGATGTGCTGTTTAGTTAACTTAGTCTGTTTTCACATTGTTAGCCGATTATGTGAGCCTACTAGATTCACACTGCGTGCTGGTGAATCTGTTATTAGCTTCATAAAATTAAATTTACGTGATTGGTTACCGGTGAGCCTATGAGGTTCGACCGCATGTCTCGGCCGTCTGCCCTGAGTGTGGCTCTCCCACCACAGGTGGCCATGGGCCGTGAGGACAGCGTGGACCTCCTGTTGCAGAACGGGGCAGACATCTTGACCCGGGACAGTAGGGGCCGCACTCCTGTGCACCTGGCTGCCGCTGGGGGACACGTCGGCATCCTGGGGCTGCTGCTGCAGGCTGCGCGGTCATTGGAAAGCCCCCCCCCAATCACCGACAATCGGAGATACACCCCTTTGCACTGGGCCTGCTACAACGGTGACTTGGTGTTCCTCAGAGCTGCATGTGCTGCTGGCTTGTACTGAAATCTGACTTTTCTGTACCTTTCTCTAACAGGTCATGACCCCTGTGTCGAATTGCTGCTGGAGCAAAATCTGTTTCATGAGGGAGATGGAAACCCTTTCAGTCCTCTGCACTGTGCTGCGTAAGGAGCCCGCCCTGGCCGGCGCCTTTGTCCGTGTGAATTGGTCAGGTGGTCACACCCTCCCCCTATTTCAGGATAAATAACAACGAGAGCGCCGCTGAGATGCTAATCGAAGCCTTGGGTCCCGCCATCGTGAATGCCACCGATTCAAAAAACAGGTCAGCTGACCTTAGTGTAAATCACCCAGCACCTTATTTTGCGGTACCTCCACCCTGCCACCTGAGGGCGCTCAGGGATTGGCTGGGTGGACCGGGAGGCTGACGGTGGGTGTGATTGCCGGTGCTCACCCTCTGGTGCAGGACGCCGCTGCACGCCGCTGCCTTCGCGGACCACGTGCAGTGCCTGCAGCTCCTGCTGGGCCAGAGCTCGCAGGTGAACAGCACCGACACGTCGGGGAAGACGCCGCTCATGATGGCTGCTGAGAACGGCCAGACCAACGCCGTGGGTAAGCAACCCTGGGGGGCATCCAGAGATCAGTGTCTGTTTTATACAGGTTGCGTGTCTGGGGCTGTCACTACTGGTCACTACTGATGCGTCATGTCCTGCCGCTTACAGAGGTGCTGGTGAACAACACGAACGTGGATCTTGCACTTCAGGATGCCAACAAGAACACTGCCCTTCATCTCGCCTGCAGCAAGGTGACCGGCATTACCGCCTACTGCCACCAGGGGGGTGTATCGTTACCCGATGACGTCTCCCTCCTGACCTCTCAGTACCAAGAGATGTTGACATTTGCCTGCTGGAGGCCGCCTTGCAAATGATTTCTTTCCATTTGCTTTCCAAAGGGGCATGAAACTAGTGCCTTGTTAATACTTGAGAAGATAACTGACCGGAACCTCATCATATTGACGAACGCTGCTTTGCAGACGTATGTATTCCCACGGCAAATGTCACCCACCCCGCAAGTTCTTTGCTATTTGGACTTCACCCATCATCCTGCATGCATATTCTGAAAAGGTGGACTGAGGTTTCTGGTGCCCTCTAGTGGCACTGTTATGCGATTGAATTCTCAATTTCCTCCACTTGAATGTGATGGTTTTTCCTGTTGTGATGCCCGTGCATTTCCGGCTCCTGTTGTGCTTCCGGTGCCCTGTGTGCTGTCTCTGTTTATCCGTGTGCCGCCTTTCTCTCCCAGACCCCTGCACGTGGCAGCCCATAGTGGATTAACCTTGGTGGTACAGGAGCTGCTTGGCAAGGGTGCGAGCGTTCTTGCCATCGACGAAAACGGTAAGGAGCCGTTCCTGTCCAGCGTGACAGGTAGCCGTATCGGAGTTCCTCTGCGCGGGGTGCCATACGATGCTCGATGTTTCGTCAGAGCCTACGCTCCTGGTCTCGGAAACCACAGTAAGAAGCACAGTCCAATAACCTCCAAGATGAATCTCTAACATACGGCTCCCCTCCAGGATACACACCAGCCCTGGCCTGCACTCCGAACAGAGACGTGGCCGACTGCCTCGCCCTCATCCTGGCGACGATGATGCCCGTCTCCCCCAGCCCAACAACCCCCAACCTCTGCTTCAGTGCCCTTAACCATTACCCTAGTGCCTCCAAGGCAGTGACCTTCAGGGGCAGCTCCGTCTCCTACTGCGGCTTCAACAGCATCAGTCGGCACGACGGTGTCCACGCGCCAGGCGAGGAACTCAACGACTCCGACTCCGAGACCTACTGAGGGGGGGCAGCTGCCTGAACCCTGGCTGGGAGCTGGAGACGGAGGAGGCCTCTTGGAGCAGAACACTACAGGCAGCCTCTCCGTCCAGCTTCATCCTCTTCTACTGCCTTCACTCTAGTTCCCTAGGTTGCTTTTCTTGTCTGGTTTTTAAAAATGAAAAAAGAAGCTCAGAGTAAATTCGCAGGTCCTTAAAGACCTCACGGACCAATCTGGAAGACGTTATCAGCCAAAAGAAGCAATGCGCTTCTTACAAAAAAGAAAGAAAAGCGTAACTAAAATCTGTGCCATTCTGACTGACTAAAACACGTGACCTTTTCTATGGATGTGGGCAAACAGCAGCTGAACTTTCCCGTGACCCTTGACATGAGAATGTGGTGCCATTTTTTTTTTTTCAGAAGGGGTGGAAAAACTGTATATTTACGGTATTTATGAGGTAGAAACTTAGTGGATGTGTTCAGCACTGTGAGGGGAGCTGAGTAGCAAACACACGCCCCTGATTGGTAGTGATCTTTTAAATGACTGTTTTACATTAGCGACACGTGTGGTGTGTCGATGCACATGGTTTTGTGCCTTCGTGAAGTGTGACGTGGGCCAGCTACGTCCCTGTCTCCCTCTTTGCTGAGTAGCACAGTTAGTCTGAGTCAGTGATACTGGATTTCTATACATCATACAGTTTATACCAGTTGCAGGTCAGCGGTGGGATTTTTCCCTACATATTATCACAGTTGAATAAAAAATTGGATAAAAGCATATGGTTGAAATACATCTGTTCAAACATTCTTACAAGTGTTTTAAACTGGATATATGTACAATTTATAAAGCTTATATTAAACGTGGAAGAACATTAATTTGACTTTCTTATATTTTTAGATTTTTATAGGGAGATGGTTTGATCATTTTTGTCCTAACAGTAGTTTTTCATTCAAAGGAGATGCATTTAAATATGAGGTGTGCCGTCTTAAGCCAGAATAGGCCCCCTGTGCCGGCATTTTCTATCCGGGGAAACATGAGAGAAACAGGAGAGCAGAGGAGAAAATAAAAGGAATTCTGGACAAAGAGGTTTACCTTTTTTAAAACCAAAAGAAGGGGAAAATGTAACATAGCAAACAGTGAAATGAAATATGAGAACAATGCTGTGGAGAAAGATGAAGAAATTAAAGTGGTAGAGGAGACGAGTGAAGAAAGGAGGAAAGGAATGAGGTTAAAGGAAAGCTGGTGCTGGAGGCTAAGATCTAGATGATGGAGGAGATATAAAAGAGAGAAGGCAATAAAAGAGATGGATACCTGGTTCAAGGCAGTTTGGAGGAGTTTACAGGTGGACAAGAGTATAGGAGATGGAGAAAATGTCACGGCAGTGGAGGAGGAGATCGACGTATTTGACCATCAGTAATACTTATGAATAAAGCATTAAAAACTGCAGAGAGTGACATTTTATTCGGATGTATTTATTACATGAGGTCACAGCTTTCAAATGTCAAAGGAGGTTATATCCACATTCTCATCATCCACATGGCCAAAGCACGCTCTGCAGCAGTGTGTGTCGTTGCTGTGCAGTGTGTGTCTCTGCTGTGCAGTGTGTGTCTCTGCAGCAGTGTGTGTCTTTGCTGTGCAGTGTAGTCTGATACCTCTCCTCAGTCACAGCTTAGGGATTCAACACTGGAATCAGCAGCTATTCGCTAAGAGGATTCCTTGCTGTCTCCCAGGAACCAGCCACCAGCAAACCCACCATCCTTTGCCGACTCACTACAAGGCCGGACCAGATATAAGCATCCTGTGATCCATGCCACTTGGTGACAATGTCTGTAAAATGTCCTTGATGGTTGCATGTCACCTGGACATTTAGGTCTAGTGCCATGAGCCCCTTTGGACAGATGCAGGTGGGATTCAAGGGGCTGTGAGTTTGAATAGGCGCTTTAAAGTCCAGCCTGCAGAACTTAAAGGATGCACAAATCTCCAGACAGGCTGCCTGATCCAAGCACAGATAGATTGTGGTTGGTCATGCAGTGCTTGCTCGTGATTAAAAGTGAAGAACGAGATGGACACTAGGGGTTCTGAATGTTCAGACTGGCCTGGTCTACTGCGTTGATGTAGGTCCCCCTGAGGAATGGAGACGTCATGTTGACCAGCTCCTCCCTCATCAGACCCAACCGATCTCTGATAGGTCAGTAAACCAGGACCTGCTTTTTCTACCAGATGATGTCATAATACCCTCCACAGCTGAAGTGCATCTCCCTGCAGACCCAGAAACAACACAAGGTACAACTAAGGGTAATCAGGGTGGCAGAGAAGCCATTCCTTCTGTGCCAACCTGCAGCCACATACATGACTCCTTCAGGTAGTCATGTATGTGGGCAAAATAAACACGCTTCAGGTGAGTTTATACCCTGTGAAATAAACAAGGTCTCTTAAAAATTGGGTGGCAATTTACGTCTCACAAATACTTAGTAATAACTCACTACTGAAGTACAAATCACGAACAAATAAAGTCACTAGTTATAATGCTAGTTCTTGATATCAGAAATTCTATTTTAGCTAGGGAGATTCAAAACGTCTTTCTCATCTGCTTCAATTGTGGTTGGAATATGAGTTAAAAAGCCAATTTTTGATACCAGGAATTGAACTGTAACTAGTTGTAATTCAATTTTAACTAGTCAAAATATGAATATAATATCATTTAAAGCTAAAACGACATGCCATACACTTGTGTTATTCATTACTTGTCCCTTCAGTACTTTAGAAGGGTTTACAGAACTAACATATATAGTAACAAATATAGTAACTGCTTGGGATGAAAGATGAATCATGATTCGTTAATGATGAATAAATATTAGACCAGTATGTACAGTGTTCACGAAGGTTTACATAATTAACATATATAATAACACAGATTGTAATTGCTTGAGATAAAACAGGCGTTACAATTCATTAATGATGAATCAATCATTATGTTAATACATAAGTAGTAGCATAATACTGTATTACTCGTGCCCGGTCAAATAAAGTGATAACAAAAATTGTTTTAGGCGCAACAGAGAACTGTCTTTAATAGGCTTATAATGAGGACTATTATTTATATATGGCTCTGTCTTCCAGACTGCCAGTCTCACGCACTAGACCTACCTGTACCGACGCGGGTAGAGGCGCAGGTTGGCTATCCGATCACTTAACGTGACCCCAAATATTAACTATATCGTAATTCCAGCTAATTAACTGGCTGACCATGTGATATAGCGGTGTTGACGTTTATTTCTTGCATTGTATTTGCTTCTGTTAATGCGAAGGTTAGTGACCATCAATCAGTTTTCTACAGCCAATCACAACGGGAGCCACGTCCCACAGAGGGCGTGGTTTACTGGAACTGGGTTGGAAATAGCGTTTTCCATGTTTTGTTTGGCCGTCAGTTCGGTGCCCTTTCACCCTCACCGCGCAGGGAAATGGGGGAAGTAACAGGGGCGCAGGTTATTGCCGAGGCTCTCAGGGCTCAGGTGAGATATGAATAGTTTTTTGATTTGCAAAACCTATAGCTCAGACGAACCCACTAGTCAAAGATCTTAACTGAAAACTTTGTGAATGGTTCGCAGCTAGCTAGTGAGCTTCTTAGAAATTTGCAGGTTGTTTCTGAGCAGAGGGGCTCAATACTTTACCTCGCAATGAGCGATCTCTTAAGCTATAGGAAAGGGCATGGAACTTATTTTGTAAAATCAATCGATTACACCCTTTGCAGTATAGTTTATATATCAGAGGCGGCTGCTCCATTGAGGTAGAGGAGGTACGTACTACATGCTCTGTATTTGAAAGTAAATTATGGAACAAGTAACTTTGACATAAGACATTACTAATATTTTTTTATTATTTAAAATGACATTTTCTCCGTTCTTTGGAAAAAATAAGTATTGCCATACTGTAAAATGTATTATTCTGTAATCTATTTTTTTAGCCACCAGCCGCCACTGATACTTACTGCCCCATGTTACACTACAGGTGCGTGCGCGAGAGATACACTATATAGGTAAAAGTAGTGGGACAAACTACTTAATCATGGAATTCGGGTGTTTCATTCAGACCCATTGCCACAGATGTATAACATCAAGCACCCATCATGCTCATGCTGCTGTCATATTTTGCCACCTTTGCAATAAGTTTGTTCGTGAAATTTCTTCCCTGCTAGATATTCCACGGTCAACTGTAAGTGGTATTATTGCAAAGTGGAAGTGTTTAGGAACAACAGAAACTCTGAGGCGCATAGTTTGTAAAAGTCACTAATGCTCTGTTGACTCAATAACTGCAAGGTTCCAAAGTTCCTCTGGCATTAACCCCAGCATGAAAACTGTGTGCTGGGAGCTTCATGGAATGGGCTTCCATGGCTGAGCAGCTGCATGCAGGCCTCACATCACCAAGGGTAATGCCACGCGTCGGATGGAGTGGCGTAAAACATGACGTCACTGGATTCTGGAGCAGTGGAAACGTTACCAGTCTGACTGCATTGTGCCAACTGTAAAGATTAATGGAAGAGGGATAATGGTATGGGGTTGTTTTTCAGGGGTTGGGCTAAGCCCCCTAGTTCCAGTGAAGGGAACTCTTAATGCTTCAGCATGGCAAGACATTTTGGATAATTCTATACTTCCAGCTTTGTGGGAACAGTTTGGGGAAGGCCCTTTTCTGTTCCAGCATGACTGTACCCCAGAGCACAAAGCAAGGTCAATAAAGACATGGTTGGGTAAGTTTGGTGTGGAAGAACTTGACTGGCCCACACAGAGTCCTGTCCTTAACCCCATCAAACATTTTTGGGATGATCTAGAAGAGTGGCAGCTGTTACAGCTGCAAAGGGGGGACCAACTCCATACTGATGCCTATGGATTTAGAAGTTTCTGTAGGTGTAATGGCCAGGTGTCCCAATACTTTTCTCCATATAGTATATATTTTTGTTATCCTTGAAATAATGCCATTTTTAAAGCTGGGGGGTGTTGGGGACTACCTTATATCCAACAAGTTATCCAGCTGAGCAACATATACTGCTTTGTGGAATACCCCCCCTGGTGTGTGGATACGTTTGCACTACATTCTTGTTAGTATTTTGGAGTACGGGCACAGAACCTGTGATTTATTACATTTTCAAGTCGACACATATCTTATAATCACTTTCAATCTCCTTGTGCTCCAGAATGTGGAGTATATGTTTGGCATTGTTGGTGTGCCGGTCATTGAGATCGCCATGGCAGCTCAAGCCGCTGGGATCAAGTATGTGGGAATGCGCAATGAACAAGCAGTACGGTATTTCTCTGAAACTTTTTGTAATTACCATAATCCCATAAGATGATGATGATGATGATGATGATGACGAAGATTTGTCTTGCTGCAGGCTTGCTATGCAGCGTCTGCGGTCGGGTACCTCACTGGACGGTATGGACATGCTCAGATCTTCATATTGAAGAGATTTGAACTTGAATTTAAAAATGTTAATTGGGCTGGTGAGCAGTACTTAAAGGTCTGTCCAGCACTCAGCAGTGCAGCTCACTAGGCTGCTCAGACATCATTTTCCAAAGGTGTCAACCAGATATTGTATCGTGATTATGAACATTCATATCACCATTGATTTGAATGTCATTTGAATTGTGGTATAGCTAAGACACTTCCATCAAGGTATTAGTCTGTTGTTGGTGTAATTTATCATCATACCTTCACACGCTCCATAACAATTAGTAAAACAATTTGACCATAATAATCAAAAAAACTCTAAACCCCCAGTCATATTTTACTGTTTTCTGCATATGTATTTTAGAATATCATGATAAATATTGATATTGTGAAAATCTCTGAAAATATCGTGATGATATTTTTAGGGCTGCCACTAATACTGTTTTTCTATGGACTAATCAATCAACTATTTTACCGATTGGTCAATAAATCTGAACGATTTATTTTCCTTCAGATATTCAAATAGACCGTTTAAATATTACATAGTGATATTAAAGGAAAACATTTGTTATAATGCATTGAAGGGTTTTAGAAATCATAATGGTAATTTCATAAAAATAATTTTAAAAACGATGTGTTGATTTAAAATACTGATGTAGACGCTGAAAAGTATGTCGACCAATCGCGGCAGCCCTACCCATGACTTTTGTTTAAGTAGAAGTTTGGAGAAGACAGAATAACTTGTCAGAGAAAACACTGGCCTCTTTGCGACAGATTTTCTAATTCAGGTCTGTATTTTTAAGCACTGTTGTTAATATATACATATATATATATTTTTGTACTTGCCCACAGCCCTGCAGTGTGCTTAGTGGTGTCAGGGCCTGGACTCATCCATGCCCTGGGTGGGATGGCGAACGCTAACATTAACTGCTGGTACGCTACCACTCAGAGCCATACTGTCACACAGGCCGCTTCCTGCGGGTCACTTTGCCTTCTGCTGCCCCAGAGGCCTGATTCCACCAGTGTCACGTCTGCAGGCCTCTGCTTGTTATTGGCGGCTCCTCGGATCAAAACAAAGAAACCATGGGGGCTTTCCAGGAGTTTCCTCAGGTACAGCACTACTCCATAACCTGCTTCAAGTACAGGGTCTGCATGGGATCTGCTGCATGCTACGCTAATCCACAGAGGTTAGTTCAGGTCCAGTAAATAAAAATCCAGACCAAGATTTTGTTTCAGCCAGCCAGCTGAGTTCTCTGTGACTCTTTGTACTCGACTGGTTGATTGAAACTAAATCTTTGTCTGGATTTTTACTTTCTGGGCCTGAACTGTCCACCTCTGCTAATCCATCACAGAGCATAGTCACACACAAGAAGGGCTGCTTGTTTTTTAAGGGCTAAAATAATCATTCTCCTTCCACTCAACCTTCGCAGGTGGAAGCCTGTCGACTCTACAGCAAGTTTGCGGCCAGACCGAGCAGCCTAGGGGCCATTCCGTCAGTGATGGAGAAGGTGCAGGGTGACACCTGGGGTCTCGTTTCTCAAACTTTGCTTAAGTTTTATTGTGAAGAATTGCGTACATAAAAAAATTAGAATTTCTCAAACCTGGTGTACGCACATATTTACACAATTTCCTCTTGATAAATCTTTTAAATATGCATAAGCCTGAGGTCCTGCCTAATTGGCACCCATAAATAACCATAAAGGATCAATGGAAATGAAGGCAATGCTCATATAATATGCAAATGAAGCCTTTCTGATTACAAAGTCCAACAATAGCATCTGTAAATAAAAAATCAAAAATACAGGGAATACTTTGTCACCACCCTGTCCATGGCATCTACAGTATGACACCTAAATCACACTTGGTGCAGCTACCGATGGCTCCAGATATTTTCGTTTCCTGGGAGCAGGTGACAAGAAATAGTGTTTGAAATAGCAAATTAAATTAGTCGCATGCAGTTTTTTTCTTACATAAATGAAACATTAATGAATCCCACTTAACATTTTACAATTTAATGTGAAGGTGTCCAGTTGATGTTATGAGTTGTTGGCATGCGGACATTTAGTTAGCTGGTTTTCCTCCAGTTCCCTGCTTTATCATGGGTGTCAGCTTTTCCAGATTTATCCAGAGTGCTGCGTACGCTGCCCCAGAGTGTCCATAAAAATGCAGAAGTTTTATTTGATAAATCCTGGATTTTGTGTGAAAAGTTGCTTACACACATTCTGAGCTTCTTTTTGACAAACGAGGCCCCTGGTTTTTTCTGTGCCACGTTCCTGCACTGACCACGTGCTGCTGGTGCCTCCCTGTCATGCTCACAGGTGCCTACAGGTGGCGTACAGGAGGAATCCTTTAACTTTCTGTGCAAGTCTGCAAAGGGCTTTGGCTTTGGCTTTGGTTTGGTCTTTAGTGAACCTTAGTACTGAGGAACTAGATGGCTTTGTCCAAAAATGCACTGCATAAGTTTTATTTAGTATGATAATGTTTACGAACTACATAAACAAGAATAAATACACCATCCACCTTCCTACAACTTATATATAAATGCTCTCCGTCAGAATTCTCAGATAACTAAAAATGTTAGTGAGTTTATCCGCTGTCCCACATTTCCACACGCTCTGGCATGGGCTGTTTTGTCCCGCAGGCCGTTCGGAGCAGTATCTACGGCCGTCCGGGTGCCTGCTACATCGATATCGCCGGGGACATGGTGACCGCTAGCGTGGACAAATCTGGAGTGAGGTCTGTCACAAGTGACGGCAGTCTAAACCAAAACCGGACTATCCCGCTAAAGAATAAAAAAAAATAAAAAATTGTATTGTGTTATTGCACAGTAATGAGTTTTGCACACATTATGTTAGAATTGGGCATCTTTGGGCACATTCTCATGCTTGTGTCTGATCGATTCTGATTGGCAGGGTTGTGCCGTGTTGCCCACCCCCTCCCCTGAGTTTGGCTGGTCCCGGGGAAGTCGCAGAAGCAGTCTCTGTATTGAAGGCATCCAAACGGCCACTGATTATTGTTGGAAAAGGTGAGGGGAGAGAGATCCTCGAGGGGCGCCTACGGGACAGGAGACTTCGCTAAGCATGGGCTGTAACCGGCTTACCTGGAGGGGGCGCTGTTCTGGCTCTTACAGGGGCAGCCTATGGGCGAGCGGAGGATGAGATTTGCCAGCTAGTGGAGCTCTGTGGATTGCCCTTCCTGCCCACCCCCATGGGTAAGGGCGTCCTGCCAGACGATCACCCGAACTGTGTGGCTGCAGCTCGATCCAGGTCTGTGCCCCCCTCCCCCGCCTGCTGTCAGTACTGTTGATTCCCGAGTTGCGTCTTTTTCCTCAGGTACCTGTCACTTCATCCTCCCAGTGACATTAAAGTATTACACTCAAGAATTATCAAGCTCTTGGGTTTAAGTTTCTGGTTCAGTACCTTAACCTCTGCATAATCATATTCTGGTTCTACCAAAAGGCAGAGGGTATCAAGCTTGTGGATTCATTCCCATTAAGAAATCAGCCTGTAGCCTTTAAGTTGCTGGTTCTGTTCCCGCTGAGGAGGTACTCGTTTAGATGTATGAACAAGGTCGAAAGGAGCTTTTGTTGAATGTGGATGCAGGGCTCTGCTCGAGGCTGATGTTGTGGTGCTCCTGGGCGCGAGGCTCAACTGGATCCTGCACTTCGGCCACCCTCCCAGATTTAGCCCCCAAGTGAAGGTCATCCAGGTGCGTTGAAGGTCACTGAAGGTGCAGTAGCTGCCAGTGATGGGCACAGTCTTGTTACACAAGCAGGTTTCTGTACATGATGTGGTGCAGTGAGTATTTATGCTGTGACCACACATGCATACTGATGGTACGTCTTCTCTGTTGGGTTCTGGTACCCAGTAGTGTTAATGGCTTTCCAGCTTAGTATGGAGGTGGTTGGTATTACTTCTGGATGTGACCCAAGTGAGGCTGTGCCATATGGCTCTAGGTTGACCTTTGTGCCGAGGAGCTGGGGAACAACGTGAAGCCAGCCGTCGCCCTCTTAGGAGACGTTCGCGGTGTCGTCGCTCAGGTGCTGCTCCGCTAAAGCCGCCTTTCATCCATTAGACTGATAAGTTTGCCAACCTGTTAAATGTCAGTGTAGATTTGAACAGTTGCATGATTTGAAGGTTCTTGTTGACTTTTCTGCTGATTTATGTCGGCATGTTCGGGTTTTCAGCTTCTGGGGTGTTTCCGCAAAGACACATGGAAGTATGGGTCTGATACGGAGTGGTGGAAGAGTCTGAGGGAGAAGATGGTCGCCAATGAAAAAGTGTCCAAGGTACGAGACTGGCGATTAGGGTTGTCAGAGATGTTCATGAGTCACAAAATGCAAGTCTGACAAGTCTGAAGTCTCTGAGTTAGACCAAATCGTGTCCTAAGTTTCTGAGGGACGAGTCCAAGTCAGGTCTCAAGTCTCTGCTTACAACTTAATATATATTCCGAGACCTGCACTGTTGAGGGCTGTGTTAAGTCAGGCGCCTCTACTGGCCAAATGCAATATTGCAGTGTCAAGAAAGCCAAACAAAACAAAAATTTTGCATCATATATATTTAGAATTAAATGTTCAAACAGTCCAAAACACATGTATATAATACACATAATTATACAAGGTTTATTAGTCATACAGTGATCAGGAAATTTCTGAGCCATATCCGATTATTTCAAAAACTGACTCTGATACTGATACTGGTTGTTTTGGAGGTTCTGCTCAAGTTTAAAGGGACACTTCATCTAAATAAATAAAACAAATTAATTGCATTCCAAAAATATGACGTTGGTTCGACTCATATACATTTGCCAGGTGATGGGATGATCAATCAGGTGACACGTGTTGGCTGTTCTCAGACAGGGAACCTGACCACGAGGAACGCTTCTCTCTCCACAGGCGCTGGCTCTTCGCTCATCACTCCCGATGAACTACTACACCGTGTTCCACCATGTCTCCCAGCTCCTGCCACGTGATTGCATCATCGTGAGTGAAGGAGCCAATACCATGGACATTGGGCGCACCATGCTCCAT